GTACCAACAGCGGTTTGAGGAATGTCCCGGTCTCTTGCAATATCCGCAGCTTTCCTTATAGGACTGTGATGTGTTCTTTGATCTGCAATCACTTGACCTGTGTCCAGTTTTTCAGCAATTGTGACATTTAACTGGGTCAATACGTCGCGGTATTTTAGGATTTGGAGCCTCATCCTCAATCTTCAAGACATCTGCAGATCGTTTTCGGTAGTTTGCAAGAGTGGCAATCAATTCGGCCTGAGATCGTGGTACAGAGCGCAGAAGTTCCGCTTGGTAAAACTTTGGCCTGATTCCAGATATGACTGCTTCCACAATAAGGTCGGTTGGTGCATTTGGCGATATCCTTGTGAATAAACGCCATGCTTCCGTTACATATTCTGCATATGAGTTGGCGTTATGTGAAGTATATTCTCTGAATTTGTTGACGTAAACAATGTGTCTGGACTCGCCACTGAACTGCCTAATTATTTCTTTTTTTATTTCCGTCCAAGAAGCCAATGAATGTGCTTGTGTATCGGCCCAGTCTTTAGCACGTCCTTTCAAGCTGGATAATGCCTTCATCATGGCGACAAATTGGGTACAACCTCGAAGGGTAATCAGAGAATCTACTTGCTTGCACCATTCTTCAACTGTCAATTTACATTCGTCAGGGTCATAACAAGGTAGATAGATTTCATTTAATTTATAGACAGTTTGAGAATTCTGTGAACTTTTGAATACCATCTTTTCCAGTAGTTCCACTTGTTTTCGGAGAAGCGACACCTCATCGTTGTCCGTTCTTCTTGAAGATGCTCTCAGGATTGGCGAGTATTGTCCAGGATTGTCCAGGTCTTCATGACAGGGGCGAGTTGTAGGTCCGTCAACCCTCTCTTCTGATGTAAGAGCTGAACCATCAAATGGAGGTGGTGACTCCAAATGAGGTCTTCTCAAGGGTGAGGTGGTTTGCGTATTTCGCAAAGCTCCATTAAAACGATGACTCATTTTTTTATAAATATTTTATTCGATCTTTACACGTTCGTGTTCGATACGAGAATGCCCCAACTCGTACAACTTGCTTGCTTTATAAACAGTCCCCACTCTCCCCACCTTACCTACCTACGTAAGGTAAGTGACGTAAGGTTGTAAACAAGTGCAAATATTACATTGATGCAAGTTGTACGTGTTGTTATTTTATTGTTACAATATTTAATGTTATTTTAATTTAAATTACAACGTTTTAACTAAATTAATAATAAACAAATATTATTCAAAATAATTGTGGGTAAATTTCGATACTTAAATTTAAAAATCTCAAGTTATTTAATCGTAATTAATTAACGCGCTATCATTTATGTAATTTAATGTTTATACTAATTCTAGTAATAATATCTTTTAAATTAGTCTTTAACAAATGCTTGCCTTAGACCTCTATCTAAGTCGCGGAGAACCTAACGGGTTACCGGGGCTCCGGCTCGACGTGCAGGAGAAGGAACGGGGTGGTTTTTAGTCAGTAAGAGTCTGACACTCCCTCCCGCCTCACCCAGGCGGGAGCAGTCATTCGATGATTTCCACCCTTAATAAAAAAATACCTCTATATAAGGCAAAATAATGTAACTACTATCAAATATTTATTTCTATGCACACTGTTTATGATATTATTTATTCCTAGCATATTTAAGTATGTAAATTGTATGTTCTTCCGCTTAAAAAAATCTTCTTTTGTTTCATGCCTATCTTACGAAAACAGAAGGTAATGGATCCGAGAGTTTCTTCTTAAGTGTCGTATTTTTTGTTCGCTTCATAGTTAAACAAAAACAATTAATTATTTAGTTTGAATTGTGGTCGTTTTTTGTTCTGCTATGTTTATTATTTACATGATCTTAGCTGCTTATTAAGTGCATGTACAGTTGACGCTAGTGGTTGAATATTATCACTCTTAAATCATGAGCGATAAAGTTGAAAATTCGTCAACCACTAAAGTTTGTTGATTATAAATTATCCTGCTGTAATTTTGAGAGGCTTTTAATGTTTGTATTGGCAAAAACTAGTTTAGTAATAATTAATAGTCTTCCTAGAAGTTAATTAGTATGTTGAGTATATGTTATTTTTTGTCAAAAAAAAGTATTTTTTTAGATTTCTTCGAAATTATTATTACTACCTAGTAATTTTTCATACATCGGTATTTAATAAGTTTAATTTTGCTCTGTCTGATAATTGGTTATTTGAAGCATGTCAACTTTTCAGCAAAATATTTCTATCAACTAACAATGTATGAGAATACCGATATACCTACTTCAATTTAAGTGTTATGTTTGAACGATATCTTAATGTTTTCATTTGATAATTTCGTGTATTATCAAGTTGTTGCTACGATTAACGCTCTGTAAACTTCCTTACTATTAATTTGATGATATAATCGTTGTTACGCTATTTATTGCGCTGTATAGTTTCAAGACATTAGACAGGAGGATACATTCGTTAGTCTGTTTGAGTGATGAGTGGAGTAATAACTTGGCAAATTAATGTTTATTGACGAGTATTATGTGTATGCAGGAGGCGAGTAACCCAGCGGGCGCGAGGTCAGGCGCGCACCAGATCCGTGCCAACGAGCAGCAACGCAAGCCGACGTCGTGGCTGTCCCGCTGCAGCTTGCTCTGACGGCGCCCCGCCGCGCCGCGCCCCCCGCACCGACCCTACCCGCTCCATGTACAACGCGAACAATATCATCAAGTATTATCTCCCCTCAGACAGCCCTACTCGCTCCAATGTCTCTCTCACTGACTCGGGTTTGCCATCCAATATCGCCATAATAATTATACTCAACGCGTAGGGTTACCATCACCCACCAACTATATTTTTCGATCTTTTTAATACTGGTGCATCTACTCCATTGGGGGATCAGACTTGCTTTTTGTATTTTTATATCCGCGACTATGCAACCTACTTCGACGTTTAGTTGAAACAAAACAGTATTCTGTGCGAAAATTACCTTGTACATTTGTTTACATTTGAAGTGACGATTTATTTTTATATTAGGGCGAAATTAAGGTGTTATCATCATTACAAATAATGGTTGGAAGGTTTATTTCAATAGATTGTTTAGCTGTACTTTTCCTTTTGCTATTTTAATTAAGATATATATTTTAATGTAATATATAATATTTAATTTGAATAAAGTGCTTTTTTACACATTGTGTTTTTTATGAGAATGAGACTGCAATGTAATTTTTGTAACAATTTATTGCCAACATTATATACAAAAGAGATGAATATTTTGGACTCGATTTTATAAATGGAAGATACCAGCTCTAGTCTCTGTGTACGTAAATAATTACGTTTATGTAATGCATTCCGTACAAACTAACTAGATTTGTAATAAAGTTCATAAATGCTTTCATGTAGTTTGTACTTGCTTAGATGATTTGAAGGGTCTGAGAGCTAACTTTTTCGCTCCTCCATAGATACCTTTAGATCCACTTGCTATTAGTTTGAACAACATTTTGGATGTTAGAAGGAGTAGTTCTGCACCTTTCTGTGATCCTTTCCTCCAGTAAACAACATAAAAAGGTAGGGGCGGTAGACAGTCTGACCAGATACCATTACGATAGTCCTTGGCACGGGCCTCAGCAGACAACAAAGCAGGAGCCAACTTTGATTCTATTGTTTTTTTCTGGATATTGCTGGGAAGTAATGCTTTAGCAAAACCAAGCTCTACGAGCCTTTCAGCAATATCAAGAGTCTCCACAGTGTTTTTCTGAAAAACGAAATAAAAGCAAAATTATGTTTTTTATTGTGCAAAAAAATATTTTATTCGGTTTTGAAGGTATATGACATGTACAAATTATTTTTATTATTATAGATAGAGTAATAATTGCAATGGTTTTAAAAAAATTGTAATGGCAGTTGTAAGACTGACAAATAATAGATTTTATTATTGTGGCAATGATCTTCATCCTTTGAATAGGAAAAAAATGTTAATAAAATATTTAAAATAGCACTAATCTTACCCGTGATTGAGGTAAATGCAATGACACACTGGATACCAGCTCATCATTTTCTTTTGTGATAAGTTTCAAAGTCACTTTGTGACCTTTGGCCACACATTCCAACCAATTTACAGCATTTCCACTCACTACTTCTACTCCCCATAGCTGAAATATAAATGATTTCATTAATATCTGTCTTGGCACCGACCCAACTGTATGTATTGTATGCAAAGTAGTAAACATTACTGACCTTCACTGGAAGAGGAGCTTTAGCAGAATGCCATAACGGTAAGTAAATAGGAGCTCTATGGTCCACTAATACGCGGAGCGGCGAGTGTTGGACACCCGCATAAGTACCTCTCAGAGTCTCATGATTTCTTATAAAGTGTTCAGGAACTGTACTCGGTTTTGAGAACTTGCTAACCTAATTATTTAAAAATATAATGTTATTATGTAATATCATTAATATTATGCTACTTTATAGATATAGAGGTCACATACCGGACGTATTTTATGTATCGACACCGCTAAGCCGGCTGTGGCGAGAGCATAAACAGCTATCTGTAAATCACAGTCAGGTGATAATCATCAGAAATACTGGTACACATTATTTTTCCTTAACCAAACTTACATTCACTCCGCGATAGTCCTGTTTTAACAGATTTTGAACACTATAGAAAAACCCTTCTTCGTTAGACGACATTGTTATTTAGGACACCCAGTAATTATCATAATTTAGGTTTATATCTCATCAATATTTTCTGATTGGAGATTACGGATTTGCTTTGAGAAATTTTCTTTGACATTTGGAACTGATGTTGTCAGCATATGAAATAATTGTAAAGATCATCGAAAAACTAAAACAATTTATTCGTCATTTGTTTACTTAAATTCAATCAATTTACGACTGTTAAGTAATGTTTAAAGTATTCCTGATATTATTTTGAATTTTAAATGCTTGCAAATGCTTATTTGAATAAGTTTACCGGTTTTTTTCAAGTGACGTGTGCATGATTTAGATAATAGCAACATCTATTCCACGTCAACCGTTTGACAGCTGGCAAGGGACTCGCGGTTATTCATTTTTGTGTTTTGTGATAAATATTTTAAAATGATTACTGTTCTAAACACAATTGATACCGGCCATGAAGATATGATCCATGATGCCGAACTGGATTACTACGGGCTTAGATTAGCCACATGTTCTTCTGATAATTCGGTAAAGATTTATGACATCAAGAGTGGTACACAAACCCTTGCTGCTGACCTGAAGGGTCATTTCGGCCCCGTGTGGCAAGTTGCCTGGGCTCACCCTAAGTACGGCAACCTGCTGGCTTCATGCTCATATGACCGCAAAGTTATCATATGGAAAGAATCTGGTGAGTGGACGAAACTTTATGAATACACCGGACATGAAAGTTCTGTAAACTCGATTGCGTGGGCACCGGCCGAGTATGGCCTAATCTTGGCGTGCTGCAGCTCTGATGGGTCCGTGTCTATCTTGACATACTCTCAAGATGGTGGCAACTGGGATGTGAAGAAGATACCTGGAGCTCATGCTATTGGTGTGAACTCTGTCAGTTGGTGCCCGGCCATCTCGGCAGACTTGAACTTAGATCCACTTAGCAACAAAGATGCACCAAAACGAATAGTTACAGGAGGATGTGATAATCTGATCAAAGTAAGTAAATATTTGTTGAATACTTGTAAGAATTTTTATTTGTTTACATTTTGATACCAAAGTGGAATTATTGTTACATCATACACATTCACATTATGACAATTTCTTTTCTGTTTTATTACACAACAAAATTTTCTAATGTCCAATTTATTGTATTACAGATTTGGAGAGAACAAGGAGAGCAATGGGTAGAAGAAAACAGGTTAGAGATGCACATGGACTGGGTGCGAGATGTAGCATGGGCACCATCTCTAGGACTGAACCGGTCAACTATTGCTAGCTGCTCTCAGGACAAGAGAGTTGTGATCTGGACTAGCGATGATAATGTATCCTGGACACCCACCATCCTCAACACCTTTGATGATGTTGTCTGGAGTGTGAGCTGGTCCCTGACTGGCAACATCCTAGCAGTCTCTGGTGGTGACAACAAAGTAAGCCTCTGGCGTGAAGGATCTGATGGCCAGTGGCTATGCATAAGTGAAGTCGCTAAAGGCTTGGGACAAACACCAAATGATGAGAGGAGCACACTTTAAATTCATTTATTTATGTTTATGTTTTGTTTATTTTAATTAACTTGTGAATAATTTCCTAATAGTAATATACATTGTAATCAAGCTTTTTGGTTTTATTTCCTATTTTAAAAAATGCCAAGTCTCCTACAACGCAAGGTGAGACCTGATCACCAATTTGGCTTCAGAGTATGTCATGGCACAGTAGAACACATCCACAGAGTAAATGATGCCATAAGAAGATCCTTAGAACAGAAAGAATACTGCTCATCAGTGTTCTTAGATATCTAGCAGGCATTTGTAGGATAAAAGATAATACTTCTCACTCATACTATCTAATATTTAAATCATATCTCGAGGACCGCATATTCCATGTAAAAGTGGAAGATGTCTATTCGAATTTCCATGAAATTGAAGCTGGGGTGCCACAAGGATCAGTTCTCAGACCTCTACTCTACACACTTTATACAGCTGACTTATCATTAACGCCAGGGGTAACTACAGCCACATTTGCAGATGACACCGCTGTATTAGCGAGCGCTAAAGATCCAAAAGTGGCATCTGAAAAACTTCAGATTGGTCTTAAACTGTCAAACACCAAGCGGTCACCGCAACCTATTGTTCTATAATTGTGTCTACAAAACCGGTACTCGACGAGTTAAGTAGATGAGTGGCTGAAAAAGTGGAAAATAAAGGCTAGTGCTATAAAGTCAGTGCAAGTAACATTTACTCTTAGAAAAGGAAACTAAAATTGGGCCACTGCACTCTACCTCACAAACTAGACAACAAACTATTTATATATAATTAATTAAATTCTCCAACGCCAACAGAACAAAATCTTAGGGCCAAAACACATAACGGCGTTGCGGCACCGCGCCGCTAGAATCTACAGTAGCGTCACTGCCGTTTTAAGCGGCGCGGCGGCGCCGCAACGCAGCGCTCATTCCAGCATAGCAGAGTAATATCTTCTTAATAAAAAATAAGCAATAAGTTTTTCACGATGGTCCATGGCAGAGACACGTACACAATAAAAAATCACGACGAACTGGTTACCCTGCCGAACGACAATAAAACGCTCTTTTTCACGACGCCGCAATGCAAACTGCCGATTTTAGCATTGCGGCGACGCAACGCGGTTATGTGTTTCGCCCTTTTTTTTTTAAGGGGGGAAAATCATCGAATGATTGCTCCCGCCTGGGTGAGGCGGGAGGGAGTGTCAGACTCTTACTGACTAAAAACCACCCCGTTCCCACCCCTTTCGTCACCCCTGCACATCGAGTCGGAGCCCCGGTTACCCGTTAGGTTCTCCGCGACCGTTAGGTTCTTTCGGCCCTTAAGAACCACCGCGGAAGTACCATGGTACATAACCAACAATGAAATACACAATCACCTTGAAATGAGAACAATCAAGGAAGAAATTAGGAGCTTTGCAGCTAAATACAAAGAACGGTTAACCCGACACTAACGAACTCGCTCGCCAACTCACCATGAACCAGTATGTGAAACGTTTAAAACGACACCACATCCTAGAATTCGAAGACAGGCAGTAGCTTTAAGCAGCAGATGAGTAGAACTTCCAATGGGAAGTCACTCCGCATGACAGATCGCACAGAAGATTTGCTCATAGCCCTCGGGCTGATTGCAAATGTATTTATAATATAAAAATCCTACTTTCATTCGTATTGTTATCAGTGTTGAATTAATATTATCAGCAGTTACGTAAAAGTACTGGGTCATGATCTGTGCACCCACTGGTAGGTGGATCAGCACATTCATGATTGCCCCCGCAATCAATAATTTAAATTAACCCATAATCTAATGGCACCTAACCTAGTAATCGGCAAGATTCCAACAGTTATCAGAATCATGTAAAAAAAAAATCCAAATGATATAGTTTTAAATTACAATGTGTTATCCACGAAAAAGTACACCTGTGCTGGTATTTTGACTCTTGTTGCTAGAATTTATAATATTTTTGTCTGTATGTATAAGTATGCATTTTTTTTAAGGGCGGTAAATCATCGAATGACGGCTCCCGCCTGGGTGAGGCGGGAGGGAGTGTCAAACTCTTACTGACTAAAAACCACCCTGTTCCTTCTCCTGCACGTCGAGCCGGAGCCCCGGTTACCCGTTAAGTTCTCCGCGACATGCATAAGTATACGTACGTTATGCTGAATAGTGCTGCAGTATTATGAAATCATAAATTCAGAGCCAACTGCTTTGGTTTGAAAAATAATGATTAAAACAATGATTATAAAATAATGAAAAAGTATTGTGTGCGCATGGACGTACCCAGGCCAGATGTTGTCGAAAATGGTCATTTGAATCTTATAGATAATTAGTTGTGCGGCTTCTGTAATTGTTGCGCACATTTTCAAATTTGTTATAGTTTTTTAATTATTTTACAAAAAGATTTCCTGCTGGGGTAACGTTACCCCAGCCAGACCTTGTTCCTTCTAATGGGAATATTTTAATAATTACGTACTAGCTATAAAATTACTTGTCTAGATGAAGTAAATATTGTGCCTTACTTTGTATTTGTTCTTTCATCGGTTGCGAAGTTATTCGAGATTTTGCGAAGTTATTCAAAATTTTGCTGCAAATATCCATCCAGTGGCCAAATAAGACCGCGCGCATCAAGATGCTCGTGAAGAACTCAATATCATCATAACTTGTTAAATACTTGGAGGATATTAATGAAACTTCACAAACATTTGAAAGCAATAACAAATTTTAAAATAACGTATAAAGTAAGTCTTTAGAGCTCTTATTGAGAGTACTGGGACCAATTGAAGTGTTTTTCTATTTAATGAAATAACCTTAAGCTATGTATTATTTTAGTTTTTTATTGCAGAACAAATTTAAACTAATTCCTAAGAAGCCATGTACAAAATGTGATAAAAACCCGCTTAACCATTTCAAAGATCTAGCAAAACCAAAAACGTTACCCCAACAAAATCTCGAATAACTTCGCAACCGATGAAAGAACAAATATTTTGTTGGTTGGAAACATTCCACTATTTAATGTTCGCCGCTGAATGCAAGGAAGGGAAAGAAAGAAAGGTGAGAATAGTATTACAGATGTAGCCGGATCTGCGCCTTACAACAGGCGATGCCCCGGTGTAAAATACTGCCTCAATCTATTGAACACTCTTAGCCTAGCTTTGAGGATAATTTTAGCCTTACTTTATAAATAACTACCGAATTAGCAATATGTCTACACAAAGTATTCTATTGCTGACTAAGGCAGGTAGATGGGTGCTCTTAAACGAGGGTACCGTCTACTGGAGATTAGGGAGTAGATCAATCGTCTATCTATTGAAGAAGAATTCTTGTAGAGTGACTCCTGATGGTCTCATCTCGGGTGATGTAGCAGCTCACAATGTACTGGTGTCCTGCCCCTTGTCTCCACTTTTCTTCCTAGTCGTTCTAGATGGGATCATGCTTCTTATCATCGATAAATCGACGCCGAGTGAGAGTGGGGGATTATAAAACGTTTTGGAGTACTTGTACTACGTCGATCGTCGCTGACCTACGACAGGAGGTGGCAAAAGCAGGACTGAAAATTAACACCCAAGAGACTAAGAAGGTGAGAACTAGTGCGAAGAATCATACACCGGAACGCATCCAAAACTTACTTTGGGAACGTCGTGTTAGAAATTGGAGGTAGTGAAGAGGACATTGCCTCAAGAATCGCCAAATCCTTAATTACCTTCGCCCAGTTGTGACCTTTTTTGATGAATATGGTAATTGACTCGAAGGATTGAGCTCCAAATCTTCGGGTTTAATGCACGATTAAGAGTGAATTTCAAGACCGATTACGCCTAATTCGAAGATGACTCAACTTTCGACTCACGACCTTCGTAGGTAAGGAGATAACCAACGGCAGTTTTAACGTTCTAAGAATGCAGATTTGTGTCTTCATAGTGTTTATCTAGTTAAGTACCCAAGAGACAATAAGTCTGATTTTAATCTCAATAATGTTTTCTTTAGAAATGTTATGTAATGCAACTGATGCAGAAATCATCGCCTGAGCTGGAATCTGCTTATCAATTAATATTTCTGTTTTGTTGTATGGTTGTTGTAGGAATCCATATCAATGGATGAGGAATAGAAATGTCGAAGTAAGCTGCCGTGATTGCCTATATTGAAATTGAATACTCGCAAATTGTGCACAAATATCGAAGGCTTATCGATATTTGTGTATGTTATGGGAAACCAGGTAAATAAATTAAACATCATCAGTCATTGGGGGAGGCCTATGTTTAGCAGTGGACGTGTTATGGCTTATTTGATGATGAAATAAAACATCAGCAATATTAAAAAACCAAATTTAATCAGACTTAAACATAATTATTATACATTAATAATACAAATTACTTAATATCACGTGTTACTAAGGTGGTATTCAATCAGTTTTGAGAGTAGAGGCATCTTGTAGTACTCCGCTATTGTCTTGAAGGTATGGATTTGGGATTGGACCTCCTTTGTGGGCACCATCAGAGCAAACTCGCCAGCACACTCGCATACCGTTGTCATGTCCTCGCGTTTTACCTGGACAAGGAACAAAATTTGTCTATTCATATTAATTTATAAACACTACTGTTACGACTGCCTCGTAGGGCGAGTGGTCGCAAGTACTGCTGGACCAGGGGTCTCGGGTTTGATTCCGGGTCGGTCAAAGTATTACTGAGTTTAAAAAAATCTCAGTAGTAGCACGGAGTCTGGAATTGTGCCCGATATATGGCAATAGCTTCACTCCAAATTTCATGTGACTGATAACATAAGTAGTGAAAAGTGTGTGTTAAATTGGGCTGTGGTATGAAGTGCTGTAATGTACACCTCACGCTTACCCTGTTATGTGATAAACACTACTATTATGAAGCTGAAGTTTGGTTCAACGGGCTAATCTCGAGAACTACTGATTCTTTGTGCATTTTCTTGTGTTGGATCACCGTAAAACATCACACTACAGCCGATAGGAGACGAGCAGTGATATTTATATTAAAATTTCCAACCAATTAATTTCAAACCATGTTTTGTTCTAATTGGATTATGAATCGTCAGGTTCTCTGACGAGTAATTTGCGTAACAAACGACTATTAGTATAATAATAATAATAATAATCTTTATTGTACACCAATTTGAGACAGTATATCCAGGAACAAATAAAGAAAATAGGGTACAAAGGCGGCCTTATCGCTAAAAGCGATATCTACCAGGCAACCTTTGGGTGGATAGAATACTATAGTAGGATATTAAATGAGGTAGTTATAGCTTGGCGTACTGAGGTGCTTATTTATATAATGTAAAAGTGAAAACATTAAAAAAAAAACAAATTTATTTACTTCTAATATAGAATTATATACATACATACACACATACATACATACATACATACATACATACATTCATACATATATACATATACTAATACATACATAAGTACATTTAGAAACAAGATACAATGACAGATAGGTGACACTAGGTGAAGAAACAGCAATGAACTATAGTGTGGAGAGATAATGCTCCCTCACGCGTGCTTTGAACGTGACCAGTGACTTTGCTTGTTTTATGGAAGGGGGAAGTGCATTCCACAGTCGAATAGCTCGAACTGTAAACGATTTATCGTAGGATTTGCTCTCATGCTGTTAAATTAAACTAAAAATCTAGTATAGTAATTAGGAGTTATTATCGTCATTCATATTTTATTTTAGGTTTTCTTCGTGGGTTTAGAACACCATGGTTTCTCTAAACAAGAAGTTACTCTTGTCTGTTTATGAGATACAATAAACAACAAATTGTGTCTTGAGTAAATCTGCGTTCCGACACTTCACAAGTTAATAAAGCATGCATGACTGAATAATAAATGTGTGAAAGATTCTATGTTGTACAAACCTGATGACATCGTTTACATATTAAATCTTGCAGACTATATGACATAATTCGTCTGTTCATAATCTCGACGAGTCGCCATTCTAGCTCCTGATTCTCGTAAGGAGTGCCACATGTGGGGCACAGGCACACGGGTCTGTGAATAATACAAAATTATAGTTAACACAGAAATAACATTAAACTCTTTATTGTTATAGGATAGGGCTTTTTTTTTTTAAGGGGGGAAAATCATCGAATGACTGCTCCCGCCTGGGTGACTAAAAACCACCCCGTTCCTTCTCCTGCACGTCGAGCCGGAGCCCCGGTTACCCGTTAGGTTCTCCGCGACATAGGATAGGGCTAGACTTAGTTGGACACATTATACTTACAATGTAACACTCACTAGTTTGGCATCTCGACCAATTTGCTGGGTTATGTAAGTTGGGTAATAGGTAATGTAATTTAGTTAGAGTAATGTAACTTCGTCAAACAATGAACGGTGTAAACCAATAAACATAGTTTTAATGTCTCATGAAAGTTTTCAAAGCGATTCTATAATAATAATTTCAAAGCGATTCTATAATAATTATTCAACATTTTTTTTAAAAATAAATATTTTTTAATTATTAATTTTTTTTCATTTTTTTCTATTAAGGTTTTAAGTTAAATTAAACTAAAAATCTTCAAAATTATTTATAAAGAAAATTTCTTTAAGCCTTAATAGAATTATAACTATTCCTTAAAATTTGCAATTTTATATCATTTTTGAATATAAGACTATAATAAAAGAGAATATTCTCGTAAATAAATTTACAATTAATCGCTTATTTAACTCAGCCTTTATATTTTAATAGCTTAAATGTTAATTGGTATAATGTGCAACGTTTAAAAACAGATCGAGCTCCTTTTTTTGAAGTCGCATAATAAATACAGTTACTATACTAAAACTTGGGCCTAAGTACAACAAAATAGATACTTTTCTGAACATCGCAAATCGGTTCAACCAATTGTGAGATAATCTTGAACAAACATACATACATGCATACACATACTCATATATCATACAGGCAGAGACTATCGAAAGCCAACTACCTCTTTCGCTTCATCAACAGTCATCAGTCTTTTCATGCACATATACAGGTCAAATTGAGAACTGTCTGTCTTTTAAGTCGGTGAACAATATACTCACACATCATTGAGTGTAGCAGTGTTGGTGTCCCTGCAGAGGTCGAGGTCCCGGCAGTGGTTGCACACGTTACAGATGACCTCGGTGAGTACACACGACGAGCACGCCTCGCGCCACTCCGCGCTGCTACTGAACTCACCCACGCCTATCAGACGTAGTAGATTGCGGCGGAGAAGTGTTACCTGGGAGTGGTGAATAGTATTTATCATTGGCAAAGTGTATTTTTAAGGTTTTTATCCAATTTTCAGATTGTATGTGTCATCAATCTTTTAAATGTACTACGATTTTCATTTTAAACTTTGTAAGTTTTTTCTATTATTGATGGGCTGACGTTTGACTATTATCTCGTGTGCGTTACCCAGGCCAGATCTTGTCAAAAATGGTCATTTGAATCTTATAGATGGCTTTTGTAATTGTTGCGCGCATTTTTAAAATTGTTACAGTTTTTTAATTATTTTACAAAAACATTTCCTGCTGGGGTAACGTTACCCCAGCCAGACCTTTTTCTTTCTAATGGGAATATTTAAATAATTACAAGCTATAAAATTAGTTGTTTAGATGACGTGAATGTTGTGCCTTATTTTTTATTTGTTCTTTCATCGGTTGCGAATTTATTCGAGATTTTGTTGGGGTAACGTTTTTGGTTTTGCTAGATCTTTGAAATGGTTAAGCGGATTCTTATCATATTTTGTACATGGCTTCTTAGGAATTAGTATAAATTTGTTGTGCACCAAAAAATCAAAATAATACATAGCTTAAAGGTTATTTCATTTAATAGAAAAACACTTCAATTGGTTCCAGCACTCTCAATAAGAGCTCTAAAGACTTACCCTAAAAGTTATTTTAAAGCTTGTAAGCTGGGCCTCTAGTAACCTCACTCACACGACGACACAACGCAACGCGTTGTTTCACGTCACGATCAAGCCTAACCATGGCTTCCCCACACTTAAACATTTATAACAGTAAAAATACAAACATAACATACCTCTTCATCCAACGTGTTATCAAGTGAGAAAACTTTGCAGATCGCATTCACATAGAGTAGTGCGGGCTTGGACTCGTCTGTGAAGGCGTCCGGCTTCAGTCCCGGCTGTGGACCGATGTCAGACGGACGGAGTAACGGGTAGCGTGTGTTTATTTTTTCTGTTACTCTGTAGATATTTGGAAATATTTTAAGCATAATTATAACAAACGAAACAACTTACATCAATATGAGGCCCCTCAAATAGGGATGAGCCTACTGCGGCTACTACCACAGGGTAACGATTTCAGACTTCGTGATGCTGAGGAAATTTTGTAATAATCGACACATCTCATCTAAATAATATTTTGATTGATCCAGGAATCGCGCCCAAGGTGCCTTGTTAGCAGTCACACTTGCGATCACTCAACCAACGAGGTGGTTACAAAATTATGTAAATATATTTTATATTTTGCACGATTTTAAGTCCCTTAAAATACAATTAGTCACTAAGTATACATACTGAAACAGTTTCTGTGAGATCTCCCCTCGTAGTAAGGCGGGTAGTTCCTTCGGTTGCGAGTATGCAGCGCTGAGGAAGCCAGCCACCGCGGCCGCGAACGGCTCCCGTACTGGGGCCGGGAGGAAGTTCGCTAGGTTCCAATGCATTGTTATTGCGTCCTACGAAATATATTGATGAGAACCATTAACTATTATTTTAATTATCATATTTTTAATGGGGATAGAGATGCTTCAATTTTTGAAATAATAGAATAAAAATGTATTGTAATGGTAGCATCCGCCAACACTCACCAAAAAGATTGTATTTATACTATAATATTATATGAACTCCTCCTCCTCCACAAACAAAAGGACAAATTACCACCCGGTAAACATAAATGGCCATGTAATACCATACGAAAATACAGCCAAATACCTAGGCATGACATTAGACGTAAAGCTTCGCTGGAAAGTTCATGTCAAAAAGAAACGCGACGAGCTAGATCTACGCTACAAGTCGATGTACTGGCTGATAGGAAAAAATTCTTCGCTGTCAGTGCACAACAAAGTTCTTTTATATAAACAAGTCCTCATGCCTGTATGGACTTATGGTATTCAGCTTTGGGGCTGTACCAAACAAAGCAATATCAAAATTATACAGCGTTTTCAAAACAAAGTACTCAGAGGAATCGTCAATGCGCCCTGGTACATTCGAAATGACGACCTTCATCGGGACCTCAAAGTAGACCTCGTCATAGATATAATTAAAAAGTGTGCAGAAGCCCATGAGCGAAGGCTTCACCACCATGTGAACATCGAGGCTATCCAGCTCCTCGACAACACGGACATAGTGAGAAGGCTAAAAAGGACAAAACCTTTTGAGTTAACATAGTGAAGTGTTAGTGTAAAGTAGTGAGTGCTACCGGCAAAGAACACAATAACAAAGTGTCTTCCCCTTAATAGAGACAATAAGAAAAGTGTTAATGGACACATTCTTAGTTATACTTTCCTAGCAAATTAAGACAAAATAGAATTACTTATTAGCATTAAAGCTAGATTGTAATTTTTTTATGATGTTACCGCATGAGGTCACATCATATAAACAAAAAAAAAAACAGATTCTTAGTGATCTACTCATGAGGGATCTGACAAAACTAATGAACAAACACCAAGGCCGTATCGTTAGAAATGAAAGAAGCAGAAATATTCTCATTACACTCACCGACTTAGACAAAAGAGCAAATGCTATCGAAGACATCAAATGCTACAAACCAGATCTCGTATTCATAGCACCAAAACCTAAGGCAGAACAAATAAAAACAACAAAAATAATCATAAGAAATATGGCACACGACTATCCAGTCGAAGACCAGAAAGACGAGATGGAAAAGTGCATTGGCATCCGCCCTCTTAACATGAAAAAGATAACAAGCGATGTACAACTATGTATATTCAGCGGCGATTTTTCATACAGCGAGATAGCTGAAAGAATGAAAAATGCAACAGAAACATTCTATTGTGCACATAAGTTAAGGCCTGAAAAATATAAAGTAGGGTCAGATAGAGTGTTACAATGCAAAAACTGTTTCAAATTTAACCACGCAACAAGCGCATGTCACGCACCAAAAAAAGATCCCACTATACTGATAAAAAATAATCAGAATGAATCGGTGAGAGTCTGCTCTAACTGCAATGACGTAAAGCCAGAGCAACACACTGCAACACAAAGAAAATGTCCACTATTTAAAAAGGCAATTGAGAGACAAAAGAAACAATCTGAGCGGAGGGAAGAGCAACGTACAAACGTTTCATCCACTCATAAGCCAACAACAACACAACAAGAAACAATTAGAAAATCGAGATCCCCAGTGCGTAGATCGAGAATCCAACAGGGTACATCATTCGCACAGGCAGTGGCCAGCAGACCGACTAGCAACAACGAAAAGGAACTAAGGCCATTACACAATAAAATAACCAGCGACGACAAATACGCTATATTCGATAAGACCATGGAAATGTTCATGACATTTATGAAGGAACTCAGAAATGTTCTACTTAACTAAGGGCTGTAAGAAACGTATAAAAATCCTGCACATTAACGTGCAAGGTATTAGAAAAAAGTTTATTGAAATAAAACAATTAATTAACAAATATCATGTGGACATTGTTGTTTTAAATGAAGCCAAAATTAGTTTGGCAAATTTAAAATTCAACATTCAAAATTACGATAAGATATACGATCAGAAAGCCAATCATCTGGGCACAATCATGTATATAAAAAAAGGTATGAGGTGGGCTCAAACCAAGCTCATCAGTTCCTTTAGTGACGATGAAAGAAACATAGAGGGATGCAGCATTAAAGTCTTTACCAATCACACAACCGGCGAATACATCACAGTGAAAGGTATCTACATTCCAATACCAAACCAAAATGAATTATCAGACGAATTCGAACAACTGCTAAGAGAAGAGAGTGCTTTCATAATCGGAGACATGAACATAAAAATGCGTTTGCTCGGCCGATCAAACGACAGAGGTCTCGGAATTTTATTACGTGACATACACAACAACGGAGACTGCAGAATCATACATTCCGGTCAGCCATCCAGACCCACAAGTATAGGCAATAATAACATTTTAGACATAGCAACTTTAACTTATGACCATATGGATCTAGATGTAAAATCATGCAAACAGATAGAATCCATAGGATCCGATCATATGCCGTGGATAACCACAATAAACTTGGAAAATGATTACGAGGTCCCACTCGGCCGCAACCTAAAAGATATTAAATCAAGTAAAGATATGCGAGACTGCTTCGAACAATCTCTAGCAACGAAAATTGACCCAAACACGAAAATCGAAACAGATACAGACTGTGATAAAATTATTACAAAACTAGAAAAAGCTATAGTAGCGACACTAGATGAATTTGCACCGCTCAAACCAATTAATAACAGAGAAAATCTTCCCCAAGACATCCAAAACTTGATAAAATGTCGAAACAAGGCAAAAAACACTGCATGGCGTTTAAGATTTACTAATCAATACGGCGAATTGAAACGACAATATAATAGATTAAAACGCCTCCTAGCTACGAAAATCATAAACCACAAAGAAGAAACCTGGAAAAAAATCCTAGAAAACAAAACAGACAATAGAAAGAAAATGTGGAGTATACAGAGAGCCATAAAAAAACCGCCTCAGAGACTACCCTACATAGAAAATTGCAACACAGAACTGGAGATCATAGATAATTTAGTACAAAGTGCCATTATTCGTACATCCAATATTTCTCGTGATGATGAAAATACGGAGAAATGCACACCATTTCAACCGTTAGAAGCAACATCACATGCTGAATTAAAAATAGCTTTAAGGAAATTCAAAAACCGAAAAGCGCCTGGCCCTGATGCAATAAGAGCGGATTTTCTAAAACTCGGTGGTGACACTGTGGTAGCAATATTTAAAAGAATAACGGACTATATTCTGAATACGGGTTACTTTCCTAAGCGATGGAAAGAAAGCACATGTATTTTTCTTCACAAACCAGGAAAAGACTACAAACAGCCTAAGTCTTACAGACCCATTAGCCTTCTTAATATTCTGGGAAAATGGGCCGAACGCATAATCCTCTCCAGATTAAACACAGAAATAAATGAACTGATTCCAGAACATCAACATGGATTCGTTCGTCATAGGGGTACAGCAACACAAATATTGAGAACTGGCAAATGTATCACAGACGCATTGGCGAAAGGACACAGTGTAGCTATGATTTCAACAGACCTCAGTAAGGCATTCGATTCTATAAATCATAAAGGACTTATAAAGAAACTTTTTGAAGCTGGAGCCCGTAACAATATTATAAAGATTATAGAAAACTATCTATCCAATAGAACCACTAACGGCAGATTTAGAACAACCACAGGCACAGAAATAAATGTACCCTACGGAGTCCCACAAGGCTCGATTCTCGGGCCCGTGCTTTTTAATCTGTACGTCTCTGACATACCGAAGCAACGAATCGCAGGTTTAATGCTTTCCCAATATGCAGATGACTTATGCATTTTAAACGTAGCGAAGAAACCAGATCACGCCACTAGACGCGCAGAATGGGCAGCGGAGGATGTCATCGACTATTATAAAAAATGGGGCCTCCAATGCAATGTGGAAAAAACGGAGTGTATAATGTTTACTCATAAGAGACCTAGGCAAGGGAATAGCGGATACAGAAATTACATTCAATTGAAAAACGAAAGGATTGAATACAAAGACGAAGTGAAATACCTTGGCGTCATATTCGACAAGAGGCTATCAATGAACAAACACACTAAAGATAGAGTAGAAAAATTGAAACGAATCAGAGGTGCCCTAAACTCGATCATAGGATACCGATCGAAGGTACACACCGAAACAAAGTTACTCATCATACAGGCGTGCCTGCTGCCGGTACTCGATTATGGAGTCATCCAACTGCTACCGAGATACAGTAAAAGCAACCTGATAAAACTAGAAAGACAGTACAGGATGGCACTGAAAGCTGCAGGTAACTTTCCACGTCGCCTCGAAACCAAAACACTTTGGGAAATGCTTGGACAGGACCCGTGGCATCTCAGAGCACACGACCTACACCACGATATGATAGAAAAACTCGAATCACTATCAATCGGAGGCCTAGAAGACCCTGGCGATGCTTACACGAGATATGGCCAATTTAACCCATTCCTCTTGGCTAACAGAATAGGCGAAATAGACTACCTAAATAAAACAGAGAGAAGCAAACCACTTCACAAGAGGACGGCTCCTCCCCGTCAGCATAAACTATAACTCTCAGAGTCATTCTTAAATCATCTTATATTTTATTATTATTTATTAAATACTAAGTAACCCCTGGTCGAGGACCAAATGGGCGGTGATAATAGGTTAAAACCAGTACTTCTCATAATTGCTATGTATAAAATTGTGTGAAAAGAATTCGGCAATAGGCTACAAAAGATCCCTCCCCGGACAAAATGTACCAAAAATACATACCAAATGCACTTGTAAAAATTCTATTTTTAAGTGATGATGTAATAGTATATTTATTTAACTAGAGAAATAAACGTTTATTCTATTCTATTCTATTCTATTAAAAAAAACCTACGTAGGCCGTCGTTTCCTAACTGACTACTCTGAGAAGAAATGCCGAAACAAACTCAGAGGTCTGTCTCGTTTAAAGTTCAGACAGATATAAAAAAAATGTGTAAGAACCATGCAAGTTCGTTCTGTAGTGGCCTTTTGAGGAAATAACCTCAACAGTTCGACCTGTTATGATAGCAGTACAGTTCGCACGTATCTGTTTACAATGACTTCAATTATATGAATATGAATTAAGTATATGAATTAAGCTCTTACTATTAGTTTTCTTAACTTATGCGTATACGTTTTTGTTCAAGCCATAACTTTCTAATGAGGCTATTAATTGTACCTGTATCCCCGCATAGTTGGCCTCGTCGAGCCACAGTAGATATGACCAGCACTGCTTGTACTGTATGTCGATGCCGTGGAACAACTCCTTGTTGCGAATGCTCTGTACCACAAACTCTACGTAACCTGTCATGAAATGAATGGTAAATGAGTCCCTTGTAATAGGGGGTGAGCCTATGTGTGCGTTACCCAGGCCAGATGTTGTCGAAAATGGTCATTTGAATCTTATAGATAATTAGTTGTACGGCTTCTTTAATTGTTGCGCACATTTTTAATTTGTTGCGCTTATAGCTTTTTTTATTATTTCTCAAAAACATTTCTTGCTGGGATAACGTTACCCCAGCCAGACATTTTTCTTTGTAATGGGAATATTTAAATAATTACTATCTAATTCATGTGGGTAAGGCGAAAGTATATGAACGAGTATATATTTAAAAAATAAGAAGCAAGGCACTCAATTTATTACAACAAATACTAAGAAACTATTTTCAAAAAATTCTTACCAATCCCATCCATAACAGTGTTCTTCTTAGTACAAATAATGATTTTGTTGAAATCTGCATAGACGATGTGTGAGCCGAGTCTCTTGAACTCCGCTACCAGCATGAGGAACAGCTTCTTCATCAGGTTGTACAGAGTGCGGCGGAGGGCCGGGTCGTAGAGTAAAGAGGAGGGAGTCTTTAGCCATCTGGCAAAATAGTATTGTCAGTTTGTAATAAACACCAATATTGATATACATACATACACGTGTGTCTTTATTACATTTAAGTAGCTGACTTAAAATTGTGAGGATACGGGGATTTTTTTGTATACATATTGCTTTATTTTAAAAATATAATAAAAAATAAATATAATTGATAAACTGTAGTCTGTTATCTGTTATCTTTTATTATATATTTTATTTATATTCATATGTATATCTTTTATTTAACTGTTTTTACTCCGTCGGCTAACCAACTAGCTTTTACGCAACGTGTCCAATGTTTTGCGCAAACTTATGCGCTAAATTTACGCACGGAAGAATTGTTTGTGTGACTTACTATAATTTTTCCTAATTAACATTTTATTTGTTAGTAAACGCATTTATGTTACAAGAGAAAATCCAAGGATTTTAATGGCCAATAATATGTACAAATTCTTAAACAAATTGAAACTTTAGTTAAAATGGAATCAATGGTTACCTGTAAAAGTGTGATATCTGGAAGTCAGCGAAGACGTTCTTGTACTGTGTGACGTCACGCAGCCACGACGCTATCATAGTGCGGAGGATCTTGAACGCTGCGCTGCACTGCGCTGTTTCGTCGTATGTCATCGTTGCGTTCGGTCCTAATGTACGGAAATAGATATACGTGAGGAGTGTCAAGTGTGGGAGAGCCTTGCTTAGGCACGAATGAGCCAGCTTAACCGGAGTGGCACCACGGTCTCACAGAAAACTGACGTGAAACAACGCAAGAGTTGTATTTCGCCGCGTGATTCCTCTCCCCAATCTTCAAATCCTCAGCCCTCAAAAGGCCGGCAACGCACTTGTTACTCCTTTATTGTTACAACTGTTCAAGTGTTCTGTATGCTAGTTTATCGCTCTATCCCATATCTTTTTTACCCGACTGTAGGAAGGGTATTGAACTCAAAATCTTGCCATCACTCCATAAAATTGATATGCAAAAGATAATTATGTGTTGATGGGTCACCTACCAGCATGATTAATAGCGTCCTGTATGGAAGTATGCTGCGCCCCGAAGGCGGTGGAGAGCGAGGTCCCCTCGTTGACGAGGACGGCGCCGGCCTGTAGCAGCGCGCACACGGCCAGTGCGTCGGTCCCCAGCGACACGCACACCGAGTTATACGCGCCACTACATTTGTGCGCACACCCTGATAATTCCTCCACTTCGCTTACCAATCTGCAATGTATTATTATTTGAATACAACTAAGATAGTTCCGAGTTTAAGAGAAGAAAGCACGGCGTTACAAAAAACCGATGTGAAACAAGTAGGCACGAATGGGCCGGCTCGACCGGAGTGGTACCACGGCCTCACAGAAAACCGACGTGAAGCAACGCTTGCGTTGTGTTTCGTCGTGTGAGGGAGGTTACCGGAGGCCCAATTACCCTCCCCTTCCCCAATCTCCCCAATACCTGAATCCCCAACGATCCTCAAACTCCTAATCCCCAAAAGGCCGGTAACGCATTTGTAACGCCACTGGTGTTTCAGGTGTCTATGGGCGACGCCGATTGCTTACCATCAGGTGATCTGTCTGCTCGGCGTATGCCATAACAAAAAAAGGTACATAAAATAGGTTTCATGTTAAACAGTTTTAATGAGCTTATATTGTATGGTCATCTAGATTAAGAATGTGTACCAAAGATCGATCTGTCGTCAGGAAGGGAGTGAAATTCCAATTACTAAATTTGTAAAATTTTGCATGAATATTACTAACAGATCTGGTCAACATATAGGCTACATATTATCACGCTATCACCTATGGAGAAGGAGCTGTGAAGAACTGTCTAAAGTCACTATTCCACGCCAATGAAGTCGCCGGAATCTACTAGTGATTAGTATGACGATGATGAACTTACCTGTTATCATCAGTCTCTCGCCCCCCAAGGTCCGGCAGATCTCTATTGGAGCACCAGAGCACGAAGTTGTGTTTGATGAGCTGTCGCGCGTAGAATAAGTCTGCGCCAAATAAGGTGGGATCCGCCGGCATATTGCCTATGGGCACGTGGAAGTACCTGGGACGAAATACATTTATATTACTACAAAACTCTTTCACAATGCTTTCATCTTCGTGTAGATTTACGCCTTTTATCCCTAAAGGGGTAGGCAGAGGTGCACATTCCAGCACTAAATGCCACTACAATGTAACACCCACTTTCACTATTTATATTATGAGTCCTATGTAATAGGGTGTGAGCCTACTGCCATATACCGGGCACAATTCCAGACTCCGTGCTATCACTGAGATTTTTTAAAAACCCAGTAGTACCTTGCCCGACCCGGGAATCGAACCCGAGACCCCTTGCCCGGCAGTCGCACTTGCACCCACTCGGCCAACGAGGCAGTCACTGTTAAGAATTAACTGATGATAGAATAATCGATCCTTAAATCACAACATTTTGCTGTCAAAAGACTCTGCTGTAAGGTAAGTTAAGTTTCGTGAGTATATATATGACTACTCAAAGAGTGGTGAATAATTCAGCATATTTCTTCGACCATTAAAAATAGTTATTAACATATTAATCGTCAGACATGATTTTTGTCAGAATTCAAAGATTAATATGGCAATAGGCTCACGCCCTATTACATGGGACGCATAACATAAATAGTGAAAAGTGGGTGTTACATTGTACAGTGGCATAATTTAAACCTCTGTCTACCCCTTCAGGGATAAATAAAAGGCATGATTTTATATATTTATTTATTTATTTACTAACTTACATTTACCATTACAGGATGACCCAATGCGATAAATGCGAACTATTTAATCCTGACTTATTGCTTATAACTAATTACAAACAAAGCATTCCTGCAAGCATGATGTTATGTTTATGTAGTCAACTTTTTGAATGTTCTACCTGCATTGTTCTATAGTGAGTTGTAGTACAGCCTCGAGTCCCAGATAGTGTCTAATGATGGCGCGCGCCCCGATACGTTGCCACTCCAGTGCACTGTACAATGTTTCTACGTCGCGCACGTGGATCGGGACGATGGGGAAGTCTGATAAACCTGAAAAATACATGGCAGAGATTAATTATCTTAATATGCAAAAAACTTATAAGTTGATAGGACTTTCAGAGTTTCATTTGTATACGACCTTGATGGGAAAAAAACGGCAATACATGATTTCTAATTAAGTTTGTGATATTTCAAGTAAAGATAAACATAGCTGTTTGTGTGTTTTGTAACGTTTTGTTGTTAAAACTCTTTTATGGTTTATCTATCTTTTAATTATCGCAAATCCGAGCGTACGGCGCGTCGCGTTCCGAGCGCGCCTCATAAAGCCATCAGACCACCACGGATGGATCCCAACAGGGCTGATGCCGATACAGAACCACGGAGAACTTAACGGGTTACCGGGGCTCCGGCTCGAAGTGCATGAGTAGGAACGGCATGGTTTTAGTCAGTAAAAGTCTGACACTCCCTCCCGCCTCAATCTTTTGAAATGATCATATCCATACAGACTCGTTTCCTTCGGTACCTATAATAAGCACTTTTTTGAATGGATAGGAAGTAAACTTTACCTGGCATAAGTTGCATGAGTAGATGCGACGCTAGCGTAGCCTGTATAGCCAGTATGGTGGGACCACAACGCTCGTCCTTGTACCGCTGTAGCGCGCGCTGTAAGTGACGGCTCACTGCTCGCGCTTCTGTTTCTACTACTACTTCCCACGTCAACTCAGAGCCGGGGAGGGATGATTCTTCTGTTCCTAGATTAATTCTGTGTGGGAAAATTGTTATTAATGTTTAACATTTCATTGTGTGTGTAATTCTATGTGTTAATGAATAAATAGAATGAGTTTTAATGTACACTGTTAGCTGAGCACTGGCATTTTTATGCCGCTTTTACTGTTTATTTTATGTTTAACTATTTTTCGTGTTTTTTTTTATTTTGTTACGACAAATATTAAATATAACAAGCAAGGCAGCTACCGTGAGCATTATTAAAAGGGATTATTGAAAGTGATGCAATTCAGTTAAGACGAGTCCTTAACTACCCGCTATGTCTAGAGCAAAGTTAGTAACATTGTATATAGCAATTAAAATAACAGTATCTAAATTTAAATGAATTTCTTAAATAAAAATACGAAAACAATTCCTCAATAAACTCTATTCACATTTTACTTGCAATATAAAAGCAGACTTACGGCACAAGAATTAAGTTAAATTTTCAAGTATATCAAAAACTTACTTGGCAGTCCTCTCAGCTAGGTACAGAGTGCTCATGTTAGGAACTTGGTTGGTTTTGACAGTATCCAGTACGTATATGTAGGCTCGCTTCACTGGCGGTAGTATTAGTGCCCACATGCTGCGCGACGAGTTCAAAGCCGAGTGTTGGTATAAGTAAATATGTTTTACTGGGGGCACACCGTCCTAGGAAAGATTTTAAATAATAATATGTTTTTAAACATTGTTTATATATTTAATATTAAATGTAATAAGGTGCTAAAATAGTTATCCATTGCGTTTATAAGCCATTAGTTTGGTTGCGCATCCGTTGCGCAAAATTTTGCGCATTTAATAATCTATGCACAACGTTTGCGCTAATAGTCAAGTTCAATTTGCGCATATTTAGAAGTCACCATACAATATGATGGTAATAGACTCATCCCCTATTACATGGAACTCATAACATAAATAGTAAAAAGTGGGTGTTACATTGTACATTGGTATTAAGTGCCGTAATGTGCACCCCTGCCTACCCCGTCGGGTATAAAAGGCGTGATGTTAAAAAAATATGTATAAAATATGATGATGTAAGAAAGTGTTTAATTATTACCTGTTTTTGTAAATACGGTTGTAGACCCACGCTTTTGAACTGAAGCTGACTTAGTGAAAACGAATCCATGTTATTCGAACCAAATTGTATCATCCTGCAAAAATAGATGTAGTAAAATATCACAGCGTAAATGAAGCTGTATTTCGCAAAGCATTAGATTGATTATCATACTTTCTAGCTTCTTGAGGATCCACAGTGCATATACAGCCGAGTTGGACGAGTACTCTGAATTCAAGACTCATTTGCGTTTCGTATATACCTTCGATTTCTGGAGCACATAGTTCGGATGTTAGCTTTCTGTAAACGAAACACATTCATATGAATAACAGAACAAAGTTGGAACCGAAATTCACCCATTATTAACACGTTACACGCCATGGGGGTCATCGGTGACCGGCGTTAGCAGAGGATTTACCTTCAACAGTTTTTTATTGGCAGTCAAAGTCTTAAGGTATCCAAGGTCATTATGTAAGGTCTTCTCTTTATTAAAAGGATAGGGTGGGAAACTTGATTATCTGATGGCGGTAGATTAAATCCGCAGAGAATTGGAGAGCCACCTTAAAGAGCCATCATACCACCACGGCACGGATGGGAGGCCCAATACGGCTGATGCCGATACGGAGCCGCAGAGAACGTAAAAGGTTACCAGGGCTCCGGCTCGAAGTGCAAGAGTCAGAACGGGGTGGTTTATAGACAGTAAGAGTCTGACACTCTCCCCCGCCTCACCCAGGCGGGTAAGGCATTCGATGATTTTCCTCCCTTAAAAAAGGGGGTTTGGAGATTTGGGTAGGAGGAGGATTGGCACTCTGGCTCTTAACCATAACATGATCTTGATTATTTATAGAATCTTTAATAGACCTTACGCCATTAATATTTTAATAATAAAAATAATAATATATGCTTTATTGTACACCACACAATCACATTATAGGATAAATATTAACAAAAATAGTGTACAATGGGCGGTCTTATCGCACAAGGCGATTTCTTACAGACAAGCTTTGGATGGAGCAGTAATAGGAGTCTGATATGGGTCGTCAAGTGTACAATAATTAATAACTTTATAAAGTACTATACATATAATACAAAAATACAACTACAACTCAAAAAAAATAAATAAAATAATATACAATATGATACATAAATTACATAATGGTGTGTATTTGTGCATGTGTGTGTATGTGTGTGTATGTGTATGTATGTGTGTGGATGGGTGTGTGTGGTTAAGATAGGATATAAAATTATAAAGAGAGGAAATGCTCTTTAACAAGTTTTTTAAATTGCGATAAGGGTTGAGCTCGCCTCGCTGCAATCGGTAAAGCATTCCACAACCGAGCTGCTTGCACTGTAAAGGATTTGTCTAAAAAGGAAGTGGAATGCAAACAAATACTCAATTTCAGACTCTCCGATGATCTCAAAAATTTCGAATGTATAACGCCAAGGTACGTAAAACGTTCTTTTAGATAAGTAGGGGTAGTGGGATAAAAAAGTATATTGTAAAGAAGTGAAAGAATATGAGTATTCCGGCGAAGGCGAATAGGCAGCCATTTGAGCTTGTTGCGGAACTCAGAGACGTGGTCATATTTGCGCAATCCAAATATGAACCTAATGGAAAGATTTTGAAGTCGCTCAAGCTTGTCTAATTGTTCTTGGGTGAGATCAAGATAGCTGGCATCAGCATAGTCGAGAATTGGTAGAAGTAGGGATATTTATGTTTTTTAGGGATATTTTATTACATTTTTAAGTCTTATGTTACATATATAAACATGAATTCCGTTTTGCCTTGGTCACAGCATCACGCGAGAATGGCTAGACCGATTTCACAAATTCTTTTTTTATGAGGTGAGGAGAAGCTGTGGAGAAGGTTCTTATGTCAGAAAAAAAGAGATATTTCTTGATTATAGGGCGGTACGAAGTTCGCCGGGTGAACTAGTTTTAAATAATAAACACTCACTCCTGATGTTCTCTATACACGTTCTCAGGCACGGTGTACTGGTACAGATGCAATACAGGGTGTGCTCGCGGCAGTATTCTGTTACACTTGCGCCAGTACTGGCCGCTGTCTGTCGCCCGACTGACGCGCTGGTTGACGTAGAATATACGAGGCACTGTCAACTTGATCTGGTGTAACTCCGTGCCTACTAGCGCCCATACTTTGAATAGACCGGGCTCTGCTGTTTCTACTACCTGGATTTGGGAATGTTTTTGTTAGATTTTTATATAAATAACATAACATCACGCCTTTTATCCCTGAAGGGATAGGCAGAGGTGCACATTATGCCACTGTACAATGTAACACCCACTTTTCACTATTTATGTTATAAGTCCCATGTGATAGAGGGTGAGCCTAATGCCATATACCGGGCACAATTCCAGACTCCGTGCTACTACTGAGAATTTTTAAAAACCCCAGTAATACTTTGCCCGACCCGGGAATCGAACCCGAGACCCCTTGCCCGGCAGTCGCATGCACTCGCGACCACTTGACTAACGAGGCAAATAAATTTTGTATATTTAAAATGTCCAACAGTTTAAGACGCGACGCCGATTACTTACCATCAGGTGATCCGTCTATTCGTTTACCGGGTTACCCGATAAAAAAACCTTCACCATAAAAAATAAAAATGTATGTTCTTAGTTAGTTGTCAAATCTACTGAAGGATAGGATAAGGTTTGATACTGGTCATATCTATCGGTCTATCGGACTAAGTTCAAAGTCAGTTGCTATAGAAACAACGCTTACCTGTATTATTTGCCAGGGTGTATTGAGCAACGTACGTTGTGCTCTCCTAATGAACCCGCCTAGCGTAGTCGCTGGACCGGCCTTTGGGGGCGGCATCATATCCTTGTCCAGTTTACCTATTTAAAAATAAGACAAACTTGTTAGTTCAGCCGCAGAGCGTTGACACTATTGAATATATCGGGTGAATCTTATGACTCCTAGGTCGGTTGGTTGGAAGCGACCTGCACGACCTTTTGAGTGGATGTCTGTGACATAATCTGTGTTATAGATATACAACATGTAACGTAATTAACGCACACTCTCAAACACCCCAATTAGAATATTATGTTATAATCATAATACATACACTAAATTTTTAATTTAACATGTATATGCATCCTTACTGGTCTTGTCATAAGGTTTATTTTTCTTTATTTTGTATTGAATGATAGAATTTGTATGAATACAAATAAAACTGCGATTTTAAAAGTCTTATTGCTTTGACTTACGGTCCATTTCGATTTGTTTTCACAATACAGGGTTAATATGACAATAATTTCTTTACTTTATACTTTTATTGAGACTAATATTAACGTCTTATCAAAAAGTTTTTATAACATACCTCTCTTATTGCGGTTCCGAAGACCACGCTGTTCCATTTGCCACAGCCATTTCTTCTTTTGGAACAATATCCATGCCCTTCGTTCAGCCTGATAAAAAGATAGCACACAAAGTCAATACCGAATAGGCCTTTTAATGACCGTGACTTGAAAATATCTTCTCTGCCTTCTAAATTCTAAAATAAAGAGCCTTGTTGACATTGGCGTAGAAGTATGGAACACATGTGCGTATACAATATTAATTTATCTAAACACTTTATCTTTTTCCTCAAATCCCATTATTGAACTTATGTAATATGGGGGAGACTTCAATATTTCATTCCATCATTGCTTTTAGTACATAACAATGGTGTGTAATTGATTGTATTAAAGCGATAACAGGAACCAAACATGATTAATGATCTTAAAAGTATAATAAAAATGGAAACATTGATTTTAGAACATTATAGAAGCCTTGTTTGTCAGCATGAAGGTACAAAATACATTAAAAGACATTATAATTTTAATTATTGTAATGTTTCCCATATTAATCAATAGTAGCGCAATGCTAAGAACCGACGAAGATAATGTAACACATCTCACAAATTGTGTAAAGAAAATTCTAGAATCAATTGAATACAACAAATACGGTAACTATATGGACGTCACGTTCATGAACATCAACGATAATATAAACTTATCAGCACTTTACAGAATAAAAGGACCGAGGTTTATTTCTAGAAGATTCCTTTGGAACCCTGACAATATAAGTAATATGGTCTATGTGATAATGGGGCAAGATTACAATGAGATTGAACGAGGATTCCGCAAAGTTACCACAGATCTATACTGGAACCCTACAGCAACTTTCATCATAGTCGTGGATAGCTCCAAAATAATCAGTTTGCACGACTTCACAACTCTTCTACATAAATACAATATCTTTCATAGAGTCTCCATACTTATACGGTCTCATAACGAATATACTATTAACCGATACAACTTTACAACTCCCGGCCTTTGCTACTATTCTGGACATCTAGTGTTCTGGTCAAAGTGCTCCGATTTCCTCGCAAACAAAACATTACCTATATTAAACAGGGGCAGTATAAAAAATTGTCGATTTACATTCGTCACTAGAAACTTGTGGCCGTTCACGAATTTCGACTCAAAGACCGAAGGCATCGAACAGAATTTTCTGACATTATTCAAGAACCATTACGGAGTGAAGATACGACTGCAAGAGTTTAATAAAGTGAACAGGTTTGGGGGTGCTATGGATAACTTATCGATAATTATGAAGGAAAAAGTGGTGAAGGATGAAGTAGAGGGAGCTGTTGGAGGATATTCGATAGACGAATTGTATTTCGGTAACATTTCATTTACGTATCCTATAATGATAGACCACATGCACTATATACTTGCTCATGCGAGCTTTGTAGACCAATGGTACGCTGTTTTATCTGAGTCTATCAGCACATACGTGATTCTATGTCTTCTGTTTGTAACATTGTGCGCGTCAGTCACATTTCTATCTATATTCCGGTCACGGACCGATATATCCTTGAACGTCCTGATTGTATTTGGATATTTGTTGAACAGAAATGTTGTAAGACGCACTCTGTCTGGATGGCCCCAGGCTATAGTTTTCTCGAGTTTGTTATTCACAGCTTTAATTATTCCTTATGCGATACAGGCGAACTTATTTAGTGTGACGACTCAGCCAGTTAGAGGGTACGAGCCGAGAGAGCCAGAAGACTTGACTGACTATTCACCTGTTCTTTACTCTGAGTGGCAACGGAGGATCGATTTCCAGAACTATATAGACTGTGGGACGAGATTGGACTGTTTGTTAATGGTGAAAGACTCCCCCAATAAGTCGCTGTACACGATCATGTCATATTTGCATTATTGGTTTAATATGCAGAGGCTGACGGACGAGAATTGTAATGTAGGCACGTATGCGCTAAGGGAACCTTATTTGACGGTGTTCAGTACTATATATTTACGCCGTGGCTCTGTTCTAACGCGTCCTATGAACATGTTCGTTATGCGTGCTGGTGCCACGGGCATAATGGGCAAGCATTTCTCAGATATATCTTACCGTGATAGGTTGAAGTGCAGAGTAAATCGACGTGAAACTCCTTATAAAACTCTTAATACTACAGACTTCTTTTACGTGTTTATGGTACTTGTTTTTGGATATTGTTTGTCTATATTAGTGTTCATTATTGAGATATGTGTAAAGAATAATGTCAATAAATGAGGCCTATGTTCTATTTAAATATTTTTTTTTTATATAAATAAATGTATATAAATAAATTTAAATAATTAAGACATAGTTCTATTTAAATAAAGGTTTTATATTATTCCCAAGTATTAAATAACACATTATAGCACTCGACTAGTTTCAAGCCAAATTTATTGAGCGACGGTGTCACGAACCGGCTGCTTACGGCTATAGGCCCCGGCGTGGCTCGAAACCAGTCGAGTGACCTCGTAAAAATAATTACAAGAATACACTGTAAAACATACCTAAATAAATAGTACGTCTTGCAAGAATTTTATAATAAATAAAAAAATAATGTAACAATACCTTAGTACTACCAAAAGGAGGTGGTGGTCCCAACGCCTCCCTCCAGTTCTGTGCTTCCTTAACCGGTGACTCCTCGCGTTTCCTTTTCACCGTGTGCACTATTGGACGAACTGTATTATCCTTTGCACTGCTGTTCGTTCCTATATCTTCAATGTCTACATCTATAGCCTGTGAAGGGGAATGAAATCAGAAAAAGTTACACACGCTAAACAGGTGTGACACATACTTAAGTTAAAATATCTACTAATGTCCCAAGTCTGCGGTGAAATGGGACCAGTTCAGGGTGCTTACTCTTGAAACCAATCTCAAAGTCAATGCAATTTCAATACAATAAAATGTCAATAATGATTCAATTTCAAAACTATACAACCACAATCGTAGCTGCTGAAATAGCATTCAGAGTACGGAATATAAAGCCAAATTCAATACTATTTAGTTCATTCAATATCCACGGAATACAGATGCAATGGGCGCTAGTGTTGCAACTCGAGAGTGCGAAATTTCACAATACCAATGTCGATCGATCGGAATTGGATTCAAGAGTAAGCCCTCGGCATGTGCAAGTCAGGGCCTTGCGCTGGTATTCTACTGGCCCCTTAAGTGACTCGCGGACGAACAAGTCACCAATCAGCCAATCGCCAGCGAGCGCCATTGACGCGCGCCTTGCGCACGCTCAACGCAGTGTTGAGTAGGGTCGATTTGTTTACTTGTTCGCTGAATGAGTTCACAAGAGCCAACTATGGTATTGTTGATATCCTGTTTAGATTTCGTATGTATAATGTAACTTTCGTATGTATAATGTAATTTTGAATTTTGAAATTTTATATTATGTAACTAATTTTGTCGTATTAGGCTAAGTACCTGTGAAGATTAAATTAGCTGTTTTCTGATTTAAATAAATAGATATAAATAATATAAATATAAATATCAATAATTGCCTGGTGTACATATTGGAAGGATAAAATTAAAGGGCTAATGTTTCACTGGAGACACGCACTTAGTCGCTGACAAATTATATGTATAACATTGGTCATAGTCCCTGTACACTGATCGCTTATATTAAAAAAAAAATACCGGGTTTAGGAGTTCAGGGTCGACTGCCTGAGTATTAGGGGCTGAGTTCGATTCCTGAATCGAGACAAGCAAGTCTGCGAACGCTCTAATACTGACTGTATAAAGTTTATTCGTCACGAATTGTCTCTTTCGAATAAAACACAATCATCAGAACGTGCTCGATACTATTACGTTACGAATGCGATAGTTATTCGTGCTCTCTAAACCTCACCGTATTCCCATCAGCACTGGTAGACGGTTCCTCTTCATCATCAGCCGCATCCTTGACCTGTTTAGGCTGGACGCTGAACATGTCAGTGATCTTCCTAGTCTTGAACTTGTCAGTTTTGGCCAACATCTTCTTGTGGAGCCAGTCTGGGTACTGGCAGCGAGGTACTGGGTTGTCTAACTGGGAAAAGAAACACAAAATAATTTTAATTCCATTTCAATTCTTAAAACGAATGTTACCCTCAATAATTATGTACAATACATTAGGTTGCATTTATAAACATTATTTCACATGTACACCAGACTCAAGCCTGAAAGTTGATCATGTTGTTTCATGTGGGATCGAACCCAACCACTATTTGTTTCTTTAAAATAAGATTACTTTAACATAACAGCACGCTTTTTATCCCCGAAATGGTAGGCAGAGGTCACTTAATGTAACACTCACTTTTCACTATTTATATAATGAGTCCCAGATAATAGGGGGCTCAATTCCAGACTCTGTGCTACTGTTTAGATTTTTAAAAACCCCTAGCAATATTTTGCTTGACTCGGGTATCGAACCCGAGACCCTTTGCTTGGCAGTCGCACTTCCGACCACTCGGCCAACGAGGCAGTCGACTTTAATAAAAAGACATAGTATTATGTTTATTGAGTAAAAGCTAGCTTTCTCATAGTCATTTACATTATAGAAAATTAGATAGATACTTTAAAAAAATTCTAATAACTCACGCCTTGCATAGCGGCTGGTATAGTAATAATCTTCTGTATGGCGCCGCTGAGCCTCTCTATATAGTAGCCCCAGTCCAGTACGTCCCTGATGTCTATATCCTCCGTGATGCTATTGTCCTTCAGCCACCTTCGAAGGTGGTGTCTCTTCACTCCTGCTGGAGACTGGAAGATGGCCAGGGGTATCGCTCGCTCGGTTACCGGAGCACCTTCGGGCTTTTTTGATATTATGAACCTGGTAAGAGTAAAGTTAAGTAGAACTTTAGATAGGAATATGATAGATTAAGAGGAGAGGTATGGGGTAATGGTAAAGCCTTTTTGTTTGCTGATAGCTACCTACCTATAGCCGCATTTTTAAAAACTACTATTTAAATAAAAAAAGGAACCGTTGTCCTACACTAGTAGTAGTTTCTAGTAGTATTTTCTCCTGTGTCGTGGGTGCGTTTACAAACATACAAGTTCACATACACACGCCACCCAGACACGGAACAACAATTTGTGGATTACACAAAGTGTTGTTCCGTGCGGGAATCGCACCTGCTACACGTTCCACGGCAGCCGGTTGCCCAGCCACCGCACCAACCGTGCAGTCAATTATTTTGCAAACTACCATTATTACTTTTACTTGCAATGCTAAAAACTGTCAAACACCGCGAGGACACCGGTGACCGCAACCTATTTGTTTGAATTGTTCTTTAATTGTGTCTATAATTACGGTACTCAAAGGGTTAATCATGTAAAAGTTTATTATTTCACTACTTTTTGTACAAAGGGTTTTTACTTCATATCAAAAAATATTGCAAAGCTTACCTAATGGGTGAGTCATTTACCATGCTATTAATTGCATGACACACATCTAAACGCCGTTTGCTATTAAAAATCCTTAATCCAAGTTAAGTACTTAATTAAGGACAGCATCCAAGCCTTCATGCATCCCGACTACATAACAAAAATATGTAAGTAAAATATATGTTTTATGAACGTACCTGCAAGCCAACCCAGCATCTTTAACCATCTGATCACCGAGGAACTCAGCCAATCTTTTAGCGGTGGAGATAGAAGTCGACTTCTGACCTCCATAGTCCTCAAGCTTTTTGGACATGGATCTGTTCTCAGAGATCAGCTCGAAGAGTTCCGAGTCAGGCATGTTGCTGCCTTTACTGTATAGTACGTCTAGCCAATAGTCGGCTACTTTAGCGACTGCACTGTAGCAGGATTTTAAGTCATTCCCCTTTAGAAAGGCTTCGAACACTGATGATTGGAAGATCTTGATCAGTTGTAGTTCTCCACGGCGTTTTACTTCGAAACCTGGTGGGAAATAGTCATTTTATAATAAAAGTAAAGATGTTTATGGATTAATATTATATCCCCTGTTATATGGGACTCATAACATAAATAGTGAAAAGTGGGTGTTACATTGTACTGTGGTATAAGTGCCGTAAATGTGCATCTCTGCTTACCGCTTTGGGGATAAAATGGGTGATGTTATATTTATGTGAACAATGGGATTGTAGTAGTACAGTACGGCAAAAAAAAAAACAGTTTTTGTTAATTAGATGATGATTATGATAGATAAATAATGGAAAAAATAAAAACATTGAATCAAAAATTATTATTACATAGAAATGGATCAACAATTTTGCCATCAACCAACAAGTTTCCGTAGTGTAGCGGTTATCACGTGTGCTTCACACGCACAAGGTCCCCGGTTCGATCCCGGGCGGAAACAGTTACTTTTTGCATTTGTTTCCAAATATTTAATTTTTGGACATTTTAAATTATTTTTGGTATATTTTAAACAAATATTTCAACTTTTTTCTTACCTTTTAATTCGGCCAATGATCCGTCAAAGTTGAAAACGGCATATCTTTTCTTCAGCTTCTTGCCTTCTTCTTTAGAAGCTGGCAACACCATAGCCAAGTATGGTCCATCCACTTCAAAGAAAATAGAGTTTTCTGCCCTTTGTTCATATTTCTTCTCCACAGGATCCACTAGTTCGAAGTACTGGTCGTTCGTGAAGTGGTCCTGAGAGAAGAGAAAAAGTACACATTAATACTTCTTGGTTTGTATTATATAAATAAGTCTATTGTTTTAACAATTAACTCGTCGAGTACCGTCTTTGTAGACACAATTATAGAACAATAGGTTGTGGTCACCGGTGACCGCTTGGTGTTTGACAGTTTAAATGCCTCGTTAGCCGAGTGGTCACAAGTGCGAATACTATTGGCAAGGGGGTTCGATTCCCGAGTCGGGTAAAGTATTACAGGGTTTAAAAAAATCTCAGTAGTAGCACGGAGTCTGGAATTGTGTGCCCGGTATATGGCAATAGGCTCACCCCCTATTACATGGGACGTATAAATAGTGAAAATTGGGTGTTACATTGTACAGTGGCATTAAGTGCCGTAATGTGCACCTCTGCCTACGTACGTATTATGTTATCTTATGTGTTTTATCAAATCAGAGTAATGAATATTTATACGCAGCTTTATTTTTCGGTACCAAGACGTTAACAAGAATGCCAAAGTTTTGTAATCTATCTAGAACAGTGAATTTGTTATAATAATAATATAACATCATGCATGTATTTCCCAAAAGGGGCAAGTACCTACACGTTAATAACTCACTCTAGTCAAACAAGTTACCTACTTACAACAGTTTTACGCCTATGAGCTTATTATAAACCTTATTAACTTATTAATAAGGTTAATTTTACATAGTTATAAAAATAAAAACTCACTTTGACCATAGCGTTGAGTACCGCGTTTGGGAAGGACACGTTGATTTTCTTCTTCTTCGCATGCGTTGTTAGTACCGTCACGTTCTCAGGAAACGATGACGGCAGGATACACCAAATACCTAATATACACAAAAGTAAGTATTTTTTACATGTGTATTGACTATCGTGAGACATACTTTTCATACTCACGTGAAAATACTGAGGAAAGTTCTACTAGTTTTGAGCTACAGAGGGGCTCTTCATCATAAGCAGCGGGCGCGGTCGCAGCGATGTCAGTAGGCTATACGACATCGCCGCGGCAGAACCCCTCTGTGGCTCGAAACTAATAGAGCTTTTCACGGTATTTTCACGTGAGTAACCCGCGATTTTAGTTACTAAAGTAAGAATTATTGTATAAATAGTATGTACCAAATATTTAGTCATATTTTCCCAATTATTTAGTGGTCGTTTTTTTATTGCTTGGCTAAAAAATTTATTTTAATTCGTCCTGATCCAATATTTCTTCTAGAGAAATAGGGGGGTCAGGAAACTACTTGTAACATTAACTCAAAATACTTTCTTTCGTTTGGAAAATAACGACAAAAATAGCAGAATTGTAAGAGCGTTTATTTAATATTATTTTAAATAATAACGAATTTTAAAGGGGGATATCATCGAATGTCGTCTCCCGCCTGGAGGAAGTGGGAGGGAGTGTCAGACTCTTACTGACTAAAAACCACCCCGTACCTACTCCTGCACTTCGAGCCGGAGCCCCGGTAACGTTTAACATTCTCCGCGGCAAATAACAACGACTTACCGTCAGTATCCAATTCCAACGGTCTTCCTACTTGTTCGATGATTTCCCTCGCCTTCATGATGATGTTGGCGCCGGTGTAGCACACTATGCCGGCCATCTCCATGCTGTGCCAGCGAGCTCTACAGACAACGACATTATTATATTACACAAAGGGATATGATAGCCAATTTGTACAACTACTGACAACTGGCTTGCATGTGCATATTTCTGTAGTGTATTTAGCATTCACGAGGCTTATAACATATTTTATTGATACTCGAGGGTTTCGATCTTTCAAAAAATTATGGATGGCTTAGTTATCCGCCTCAATGTGTTTTATTTTTATTTTTATGGAATAGGAGGCTAACGAGCAGACGGATCACCTGATCGTAAGCGATCAGCGCCGCCCATGGACACCCGCAACACCAGAGGAGTCACAGGTGCGTTGCCGGCCTTTTAAAAAGCAAAACGCTCTTTTCTTAATGGTTTGAAGGTAGGAAGGAAGTATCGGTTCGTAAATACCGCCTACGACAGATCATTCTATAGTTTTGCAAATTTTGAATTGAGATTAATAAAAATTAAGACTCGAAATGGATGTTGAAATGTTTTTCGCCATCTTATTTCTTTATAGTCCGTTAATGTTTCTTTATAGTTCCTTTAAAGAAGGGAAGAAGTCCAATTTCTATTAAAATAGCTTTGATTTATGCAACTAATGTCGAAATACTCAAACGTCACTCAATTATAAGTCACGCTTATGTATAGTTCTGTACTACAAACTCTTTATAAAATGAGAGTTGGCATGGTATCAAATTGGGTAGCCTTTCTGCTCGTTTACAAGCCGTTTACCAGTATTTAATCCCATATAAAAAAACCTTTTTTCCCCAACTCCTGATTACTGGCTCCATTCAAACGTTGTCTGTAAGAAATCGCATAGGACCGCCCATTGTATTTTTCTTTTATTTTTCTCCGTATGTTTTAATGGTGTACAATAAAGTGTAAATAAATAAATAAGTATTCGGACGAGCATGCATGAAAAGATTGATGACTGTTAATGAAGCGAAAGATGTATGTAAGAATCGTAGTAATTGGCGTTCCTTAGTCTCTGCTTACCCCCATGGGAGATAGGTGTGAAGTTATGTATGTTAATACCTAGAAAACAATACAGTATAAGTTTTACAACTTCAAAACTAGTCTACGTTGTACATTTCAACTCACCCCCTCCTCATGACATATCCATAGAAAGAGTTCAAGATACACTTGTGTGCGAGTTGTAGCGAGTCGTAGAGTACTTCCCGACTCTTGGCAGACTTGATCTCTGCCGCGTCGCCGCTCGCCACCGCCTCCGCTACCTTCGCCTTAGCTTGCTTGTTCAAAGCTTTGTACTCGTAACGACGATCCCTGAAGGATAAATTTTAATGAAATAGGGTATATGCCTAATTTTTATTTTAATGTCCGTCTGGTAGTATATTTTAAATCATTACACACGTATTTTTTATTTTCTTACAGAAATGAATACTTTAGACGTTAAATTGATTTGAAATGTCGCGTGACGTCACTGCTATGTGCATTTTATACGTAGAAATGACGTTTTAGCCCCCACTCCATATTCTGATTCGTTTTATCTAAGTATTGTTTTATTATACGACAAAATAAAATATACGTGTTTAATATTTTTTCATTACCTTATTTATTTATTATTGTGATGTTAACACGGCTTTACACCAATTACATTAACACACATACAAAGAGAAATCAAAGAGAATCAAATAGTTACAATAACAGAAAAAGAAGAAAAAAAAACATCAATTAAAAAAAAACTTTTTTCATTACCTTAGTTACGGAATAATTATATTTTTAATTTTCATACCCCGTCATCATCCCAATTATTAACGGAGATTATATATTGTAATCTTAGCTTAACAGTGGTATTTTTACAACTTACCGTTGAATTTATCTTTAGTTTACAATTAATAATTAATAAATTAAGTTAAGGTAGGTTGAAACCATCGTTTTACTTAGGGCTAAAAATTTAAGGTGTCTATTTGATTTATACGTTGTCTAGAACACTCTGTATAGACAAGTTTGTTTATTTTGAACTTTTCTAATTTCGATTTCAGTTAAATGCTCTTCAATATGTTTACTTTATTTTAATTATAAAGGGGTTTAATAAAAAATGACAATGTCACACTCATGGGAATGGACTTACTAACTTATAATCTATGCTTAGTAAGTCCATCTTCATCAGGGTTTAATTTTTACTCAATTATCTATTTTAGTGAGCAATTTTATAGTCGTTTTATAAGTTGACGGTCAATACATTAACACGTTATACGCCATGGGGGTCACCGGTGACCGGCGTTAACGGAGGATTTACCTTCAACAGTTTTTTATTGGCAGTCAAAGTCTTAAACATTCTTATATTGGATAAGTATCCATCAATTACCTGAAAGCTCTTACAGTGTCGACGTAGAATGAATTCTCTTTCTGACAAATAGTAGTGGTTCTGACTTCTGTCCTTGTGACCTTCGTCTTCTTGTACGCCACTCTGCAGTAGTCTGCTAGACGCTTCTTCTCATACGCCGCCTTGACAGAATATTTATATATGTTTAAGTGGTCAAAGATTGAGTTAATATTACATAACATAACATCACGCCTTTTATCCCCGAAGGGGAAGGCAGAGGTGCACATTTCGGCACTTAATGCCACTGTACAATG